TCAGCTAAGAATGAGGAAACGATGTGACAAAATAAGGTTCCAGGATACACTTGATGTTAAATATTGTATTTTATATTATTTTGTAAAATGTGACGCATTTTTGCCTCAGCTTCAAAAATGAGCATTTTTGCTTCAGTACCGGGCAATGAAATGAAATACTGTACATCTGGAACCAATGAATTTTTGTTGAAATGTTATTATATAGTTGTTTGTGACTAAGATAATTGTCTTAAATAAACATAAGGAATGCTTATTTAATTGGTTTGTAAATAGGGTGGCATTTCTTGTTATCTTGTCTTGGTGCATGGTAAGTGAGAAGTTGAAGATCTAATGCAGATCTCTTTGCGAAAGGGAGTTCTGAGCATTTGACTATGATGCATGTATTTTTCCGCACTTCATGTAACCTATTGTTTTTAAAGATTTACGTATTGCAAAGTGTACATTTAAATGATGTCTGTTTATTTCTGCATTTTAACATGTGCATAAAATCACACATTTACATTGTGCCATTTATATCAGTCATACATATAAAAATACAAATATCAGTGCTGTTATGTTTCAGATTGATTTCTGTAGTAAGACATTACAAAGTTCTGTCATAGATTTCGTCATATGATACATACATTTCAGGCAAATTTCTTCAATACAGCTGAGATGGTTTGTTTGTCAAAGAATTAATTATTATTAGTTAACCATGTAATATACTCGAAATGGAGATACTATCTATTATGGAGTGCATGCAGTTGTTTTGAAAGAGTCATATTGTATAGTAAAAAATAAAATAGTTCTAGCTTATCATAACCATAGTACCGTTTTTATAGCAATAAATGTTCTTGTGACTAATTTAAAAGATACGAAATAAAAGCAGAGAAAATGAGAAAAGGTACGGAAAATTCAGAGAAAAGGGATTCTGAAGAATGATGGGCACCTAGCACACTACACCTGACTAGAAAATACACAATCCTTGTCTCTATTATATACATCTTCATTCTTTTTTAATACATACACTATTTTCATCTATGAAGAGAATTAGGTAGTACATATATAACGAGGACACTGAACTAGCAACATTTTTTAAACTTATGAAAAATTTATGTTCACCCATCTACGTAAATCATTTTCTTTTCATCTTCATCTTCAAAATCTATAATTGTTCAGAATATCTGTTTCTATGATTCCATTAAGATGGATAATTATTGACTATGATGTTATGTTTAACTACGTTCCTCAAAATTTCTCGTAATGGACATACCAATTAAAGTATTTAATTCTGGAAAACTTTAAAGAGTTTAATCAGTCTGATGGAGCATACTTCAAGAAGCTTTTCACTAAACGGTATTCTAATTACAAATTTTCATAACAACCATAAAAGGTCAAAGCTGTTTGAAGTAAAACAAATTCCAGTCTCAGAAGATATCTTGGAGTTGAGCAAGAAAGTGAATTGAAGTGAATAATAAATTAATGAAAGTGAATATAAGAAAGTGAATTGAAAGAAACAAATTTGAAAAAGGGTCTACATATCTGGATACACTTTCTACTGGTGATATATTGTAGGAGATGCTCAAGTGTTTTTGCAATCTACCATCGCTCTGAAATACAATTCCAGTTACCATTTAAGTTATGGTCATTGTACTTTCTCGTATATTACAATAAATTTTGAATCACCTTAGCTTTTTTTAAAAATTAATTGGTAAATCTCCCAAGATTACTGACTTCAGTGTAAAGCATTATTAACATATCTGGTTTTTCCATCAACCCTTGTAACTGGAACATGAATTTACAGGCAATAAATATATACAACATGGGGCTGCAGGTTTTTCTTCCCCTCTGAAGAAAGGTGTACAAAGGATTTTTTCACCCCCATAAATCCAAGGCTTCGATCGGGTTTGAACCTGCAAACTTGGGTATAACAGCCCGATATACTAATCGTTATAATACCAAAGACACAAATCTGGATGTGGGTTTGTTTAATGTTGTAATCTTAAGTATTAAACATTTAACTTCAGGTCATTCTATTGCTTCTCCATTTGATCAGAAGGGAATGGATTTTCATGCAAATTAATATTTTTACTTGAACAAAGTATCTGCTTCCAATAATTTTTGAACATTTTTTTTCTCCTGTTGCTTGAATTACATGCCGATTTCATTGATACTCAAATTTACTTAGAATGCCCCAATAATCATCAACTTGGTGATGAATATAGTGGGGTTGAAGAGCGTAATATTGCAACAATAAATAACTTGAATGGAAATCAACTTCGCACTGGAGGAGAAAATCACTTAAGGAGATGGACTGTTAATGGTGTGGAAGATGGAATTCCAGGATTCACTAAAATGTTAACAGATGTATTTGTAACAGAGGGTAATACAGATCCGCGAAAATGAATTTAGGGACATGTCTTGGACACCAAAACCAAAGAAATCCAAAAGTATTTAAGCTCAGAGGAGATGGGAGAAAATGTCATAATTTGCAAACATGAGCTTACACGGACCAGAGTACCTGGATAATGATTTCATACCTGAACTACTTTTTGAAAATTTGTAAGAGGGCACGATGGCACAGGCTCTATTAGAAGATATGGATAACAGCTCCTGTACTAGACCGCAAGGAAAGGAAAATGTAATGTTGTTTATATGATCAGGTTACAGATGTAAACAGTGGTATAACTATTGTCAGATATAAAGACAATATTGTAACTATTGCATCAAACAGAACTGGAGTGCTGCCATTAGGGATAGCATGATGGAGGAGCCTAGCAGAGAGAAAACGAATAGGAATAGCCCAACCTGCATGTGTGCAGGAGTACAATTACCTGCCTGTTCATGGATCTGTTCAATCAGAATATGGCAGCTTACAGAGTTGCAATACGAATGAAAAAAATAGTATTGTCAGTTACTGATATATGCCCTTAACATGTCTATGAACAATGCCTACCAACTTTACAGGCTAACTCCATGTGGCAAAGAGAAAACAATTATGAATTTTCTGGGATTTATCAGTTCTGTTGGGAAGTACATCCAAAGACATACTTTGGGTAGATACCATTGTCTAAAAGGAAGCTGGTGCCAGATGCTGTACAACTGGATGAAAAGGATCATTTTTCCGTTTCCAGCACTACACAGATAAGATGCGCAGAATGTCTGAAGAACACAACAAATAAATGCAGCAAATGTAATGTCAGGGTTCATACCTAAGTTAAAACAGGGAAAACCTTAATAAAATTTCTAATTTGAGTTACAAAAAACAAATAATTTAAATCTACTATCGCTAGTTAGTGTGTGTATACATGTATGTATATTCAGAGAGTTTGCCAAATATGTTACTGGAGTCATCTTTCTTACTAAGCAGTGTGAAACTACTGCCTTACTATGAAGTCCAGAACTTTGCTATGAATTGTCCCCGCCTCCCACACCTCATCTTGGAAACTGCCTTTTCAAAATCAAAGATTTGCGGATGTTTGTGAAGTTGAAGTAATCCCAACTAGGTGCTTGCTCATGTTTCACCAAGTCCATATGTAACACAATCGATATCTGACTAATATTTTTTACAGATCATTGCCATATGCATTGCATGTGCATTTAGTGTTGAGGTGCATATTCCCTTTACCCTCCCTCCCTCTGGGATTCATCAGAGACGGTACAACTTCACTTGCACATTAGCCTCTCATTAACCCTGTATGTATATTTCTACAAATTAAATAAAAAATCCCATGTAATACAATAACAACTGCTGAGACCTCTTATTTTGAAGTTTTCTTGTAGATGCTCCATCTAAGTAGCCATACGTTTTGTTGTTATTTTTTTCTACAAAGTGAATATTGCCATTGACATTCTTTCTGAATATGAAAGTCTGTATTTTTAAATATTTACTGATGAGAATTTTATATGTCTTTTTGAGATTTTGGTACTTCACATGTCATTAGACAAGATTATATACAGTAAATTAATTTATCTTTCTGATGATCAATTTTGTTGCTTATTTGGAAGGGACTGGTGTTGGTTTATCATGCAGTTTCTTCTTGAATAACAAAAAGTAAATTTGCTAAATCTATCCAGGCAATGTAAAATAGAAAGGTTAGAAAGGGGTTCCGGTAGCAATGGACCTAAATGTGTAATACCATAGCCTGTTAGAATGCCTAATTAGCATTCTAAGAACTCTAATTCAAGGCACGCTGGCAATCATTAATAACAATCTGTTATCAATTATAGTCTGAAGTGTATTTCTGAATAATCACATTCAACACAGGTGTAGGTTGGGGTGGAAGCATTCCAACAAGGGTGAAGTGAAAGGGGAATATGTGTGCAAGTGTGTAGCGGGAAGCCAACTCAGTGCTTTGCTACACCAGCCTCCTGTCTCTATAGGACATCCTGCTGTATAGAGGAAAGGTTTTTTGTCATCTAGTAATGGCTCCCTGCTTACCAAGGTGCAATAAATATGCTATTTAAAGATGGCATTCTGTGGGGAAGGATTAAATAGTTCTGAGCAGATCAAGTTGTTAATATTGAAAAAAAGGTATTTTTACCGAAATTTGTATTTATTTCATGAGCAGCTTTTGTCATTGTTGAATAGTGTGAATTGTGGTCTAGGCCAAAGATTTAATACATGAAGTGTAAAACCAAACAAATGTGTTAATTTTTCAGGTTGAAATAATTCTGTTTATTCAATTGTTATACTGTTGTTCACAAAATCTATCTTGAATTGAAGAGAAACAAGGACATCCTAGATATTTGGGTCAATAGAACTATTGTATTGTGTACATCCTCAGTAACTTTCAGTTAATTGTAATTGTACCGTGGTTAATGATTATGGTTACTATTCTTGTGTATTGTCTCTCTCTTGTGAGTTAGCAGAGTAATGTGTCAGTTGAAGAATATGTTTTAGTTCTGTTTTCAACTATTACATCTGGCTAAAGATTGTATAAATATTTTATGGCATCTTTATTCTCCGCTTTAGATTCAAGTGAAGATAAAGAAACTACAATTCTCTCTCTTCTTTGCAGATCTGCTGAAATTATCAACAGCAAAGACCAAAAATGTAAAGTAATTTTCTCAACAGTCAAAGAAAGAAATATCCAGAAAACTCGAACTGCAAGTAAAAGCAGTTCATTGAATACTTGTGAATTCTGTGGTAAAATGTTCTCACAGTGCAAGATGTTGATTCACAGGAGGATTCATACTGGTGAAAAACCTTTCCCATGCAAAGTTTGTGGTGAATCATTTGTTTCTAAAGGAGCACTTACTGTGCATATGGTTATTCATAGTGATGAAAGGCCGTTTCCTTGTGATGTATGTAATAGGAGATTTAAACGAGCATTTGAGCTCAAAGATCATAGGAAGATTCATACTGGTGAGAAGAACCATGTTTGTGACATTTGTGGGTATTCTTGTATTCAGAGGACTAACCTTGTAAACCATCGCAAAAGACACCTAAATGAGTACAAGTTTAAATGTGACATTTGCAATAAAGGTTTTTACACTAAGACTGAGCTTCAGGAACACAATTATGGACACACAGGAGCAAAGCCCTTTCAGTGTGATATATGTGGGCTCGCTTTTCGCTACAGATTTAGGCTAACGGTTCACAGAAGAAGACATGATCCTCAGTACACACCTCCTCCCAAGACTCATCGATGTGAAATCTGTAACAAAGTGTACTCTCGTCGGCAAGTTCTACTTTCTCATGTGAAAACACATACTGGGGAGAATCAGTGCATTTGCAACATTTGTGGTAAAGCTGTTTCGAGCAAAGACTACTTGAAAATTCATTTACGAACACATACTGGGGAAAAAACGAATGTATGTGAGCTTTGTGGGAAAGCTTTCATTTCCAAGAAATATTTCAAGATTCATCAGAGAACACATACGGGAGAGAAACCATTCTCTTGTGAATTTTGTGGCAAATCATTTACTCAGCAATCATCATTAATTGTCCACAAGAGATCTCACATTTGTCATTGTGGTAGTGGATTTGCTTCAAAACAGGAATTATTGCAACATCAAAAAGTTCATGAAGTATCACTGAGAACTTCTAGTGACTCTGCTATGAATTTTTAAATGATTCCCTATCCCTACTAAAATTGTATGTGTTTTTGATATTGTTAAATAAGTGTAACACAAATTATAAAATCCAAGATTTAAGGAGAGAATAGAATACATAATCTTTAAAAAGGTTAAAATTCATTCTTCCTGAGTACATTCATTTTATCATTAAATTGTTTCAGTATTTGCGAAAAGTTCATAAACTGCAAATTTGTTTAAAATAATACTTTTTTGAATATATACATAGGAAGAATTTCATACATTTTTGAGAACGTGGAAACATGGAGAAATAGATGTATCATTCTGAAATGAAATGTGGTTGAAGTAATTTCTTCTTGACAATTTACTCGTAATGCCATTTCTTGCAATTATTTTCCAAAAATGTTGCGGGCCTGATACCACACAAGCCTTTTTTGTATTAACCGGTGTACTGTAGTGTAATATAACAAGAGAGTGAATTTTTATGGAATAAAAAATGAAAAATGTGTACTTATATATATGTATTTATTTTGCAAAATATATGTAATTAAAAATGAATTATATGTTAGGAAATCTTTCTAATATTTGATTTATTATTTTTTAATAATATACTAAAATTATTTGACATTATTAAATGAAATTTTAATTTCTGAAAGGAAAATAGTCGCCGATTAGTCCTTATTCTAGAATTGTAGTGTCTAAATGACCATTCCACATCTACTGAGATATCGGGAATCTTTCTGAAAAGCGTTGTTTCTGTAGGCCAACTCAACTTCTATGGTTTTGTTAATATTTTTTCCAGAATGGATGTCTGAAATAACTGAAAGTACTGCTTCCCAACCAGGATTTTTCTCCAAAATATGTATGAATATTTTCTTTTTTTCTTTTTCTTTGCTGTTTGTAGTTTTAGAATGTATCATTTAAGCTCTCAGCTAACGACACGTTCCGAGTCTCCAATTTTGTTACCAAGGAACTGCACTTAATGATATGCAAGTCAGGTTGTTCTTCAAGCTTGGATTAGGTTGGGTTTTTGTACTGTCGCAGTTGAATCAGAATCAAGTTTTAAAGTAATATCTTTTATTTGACTGTTCGCAGTTATTGAACTGCTTCTAATCATGTATCCCAAATCATAATTACTGGTTGGGATGGCAAACACAGATCTGGATAACAATCCTTAATAATTTTAATTCAGCTCAGAGCTTTCAACAACAACAACAACAACAACAACAACAACAACAACAACAACAACAACAAAAAAAAAAAACCCACCACCAATGATCAGTGCATCATTAGGAAATAAAGTATAGTCTTTAAGATGTTCATTTTTCACACAAAAATGTAACAAATAATGTAAAGAACATGGAGTGACATAAAAAAAGTAAAAATATGTGCTAATACAAAAATATGTCAAATTAAATAGACCTTATTTGTCTTGGTATGTCTTCAAACAAATAGTTGTAGTTGATAAGTGAAGTTATCTAGTTATCATAAATATATTTCAATACATATGAATTTGCTCCCTAATCATAACCAACTAGATACCATAATAGAAATTTGCCCTATGATTTTGATTTTGTAGTGTATAAATAACAAAATTGATTAGATATGATGTGTCAATTTAAGTTTGATTTCATTATTTTTGTGATAATAGATACTTTAGAAGCACTTCAAATACTTTTTCTTTATGTGTGTCCAATTCAAGACAATCAAAATGTTTGTTCTCATCAATTCTTTGAGATATTTTTCTAGTGTCCATATTATTTTGGTGTTGTAATTCACCTTGTTTTCCCTGCTTCTAAGGGATCCAGTTAAATGTTATCTTAGGAGTGAGCCTTTTTTCTTGTTTATTTTTATAGAGACATTGGTAAATGTATAATACAATGTATTACTCGTATATATTTTAAACAGATTACTTCACAATATGTCAGTGAAATTTCCAAAGAGACAAAATTTAAGGAAAAATTGAATCTATTTTCAACATCATTAATTCTTTAATTTTATTCCGAAAAATCTACTGTGCCAGGATAATTTATTTGACAATTCTGAAAATCATATTCACATCCACTTTCTCACTGAGAATGACCAAATCATTCAACATGTGTGTTAATGTGGAGAGACGTTTTGATGATTGAAGTTGAAAGTAAATATTTTCCCCCCAAATTTAAATTGAGAATATGGGTACATTTATCGTGAGGTTGTGCCATAAAATTAAAATAAATAAATAAATAAAAAAATTAAAAAAATTAAAGAAAATAAATAAAAAATTAAAAAAAACAAATAAAAAAATTAAAAAAATAAATAAAAAATTTAAAAAATAAATAAATAAAAAAACAACACCACCACCGTAGTACAATTGGAAAATACTGTTGTAGGAATATGTTGATAATTTTTTGTTTTATAAGAATCCCCTAGCGTTTTGGCCAAGAGCTTACAATATGATTTAAATGTTTTATAAATAATTCAATTCCTTTAATCCTTAAAAATTTGATTTTTCTTTCTGTTATTATTTTTGTTTTCCAGTCTATTCAAGGTTTTCTTTCCAGTCGGTAGCTTTCCAGCCTGTTTCAAATTCCCTCCCATCAGTATTTACTTAATTTCTCCTACTTCTTGTTCGTTAACGTTTGAAAATATGAACTGGTGATACTACAGATTGGCATGAACCAGTGCTTGCCAACTCAATGCCCTGTGACCTTCCAAAAACTGTTCTCCTGCTCTGAACGAAGCCGCCAAGCAAAGGCAATGCCCGACACAGCGCCGGGTATACAGTGCTCAAAGACGGTACGGAAAAGGGGGAAAACAGGTTCAGTTGACAATTACGTTTTTAAATGGTATTTAATATTTAAATATTTATGATTCAATAAAAATATGGGGGGGGGGGGAATAGAACATAGATTATTTCATAGCACAAAGGAATAACCGACTTTATGGTTGCCAGTAATTGCACTTTCCTTCTTCTAACACACAACATTATTGGAGAATGTTTTAACCCTCTAATACAATATTTTATACAATGGTATGTAATATAACCATTTGTGTTCGTCCTGAACCAATAACACAGGCACCCAAAATAAAAAAAGACTTGACTTATGTTTCTCTGTGCATGTCAACGTGCTGTATCCGAATCCAGAATTGCACCACCACCTTCTAGTTTTTGTAATGTGTGTGTGTGTGTATATATATGTATATATATAATATATTGGATTGGTCAAGAACCTGCATCATAATGAAAACTATTGTAATCAGTATCATTATGCAAAGGGACAGTCATCAAATGACAGAATTATACAATAGAAAAGCTATTTTTGGTTACTGCTAGTGATCTTGAAACAAGATTGGTTTTTGAAAGTGAATATCTATATGAAAATTTGAACCATAACGTTCCTTCAAGAGCCATTACAACCTCTCTGAGGACTTAGAAATCATTCAGAAAATTTTGTGTGAAGAAATTGTAGGAAAGATTAATCACAAACTAGAGATGAATATTGAACCTTAAGTCTGCAAAACTTGTGCAGAATCCAGAGGTCTGCAGGTCAAAAGTACATCAAGCCTGTTGAAATATAATATCCAGCATATAATTTTCAGTGAATTTACAAATGTCTTCAAAAACCATTGCAAATTTCATTTATTATTATCGAGGTTTCTTTAAAATAATATGTAAAATGAATTTTTGATAAAATTAATAAACAAATATTGCATGTGTATATATAATAATTTTCTGTACAAGTATTAATAAATAATGAGAAATAAAATAGTAGTACAAAATAGAGTAATAAAGTAATAAACATTAAGCAAATATGTGTAAATAGTTTCCATTAATAAATGTACTAGAAACTATCCTTATCTCGAAAATTCTGGTATGATTTAAAAACTTTCTGTAGATTTTTCTTGGCATTATTTATTTTCGCTACTGTTTTTAGAGGGAATGAATTTTTACAGCTCTGAAGAAAGAAGAAATTGACATTTGCGAAATTTTGGTGTGTGGAATACAAAACTAATTTTATTCACACTTAACAATACATTCATCCCTAAATTAAACTAGTGAATGTTGAAATGAATAAAATTAATATGAAATAAATCTGTTCTGTAAATTTTTGGCAGTTCATAATTAAATTCAGTAGTTGTAGTGTTTTTTTTTGTTTCATTTATAATAATTAAAATTGTGAAAATATTATTCATCTTCACAGTAGTAGTTAAGTAATACAATTGTCAAATAAGTATGGATTTAAAGGTTTACCTTTTTGCTAGTCATTCAGTAATTTAAAATAAAAATAGATAAATAATTAAAATGATTTTATAAAAATAAGTCGTGATTGTTTTTTGAGAATTCTGTGTATTAATTCTCTTTGCATGTAATTGTTAGTCATTGAATTATTTAAGAACGTGTAGGGGTATATTAAGGCCTTCATCCTGAGGAAGGATAGTTAATGTGTAAAGATAATTGACTGTTTAACTATAAATAAACTGCAAATAATAACTCACCTGTTTACTGTAGGGTAACTTTTACCAGATAAAAAAGGTATTGAAAATTGTAAAAATGTTACTAAGTCCAGGTACTGACTGAGAGTGATGCCTATTTTATGTGGCAACATGTGAGATTGCCTGGTTTCAGAAAAAGTAATATTTCATTCGAAAGATGAAAATGAAAAATAAAAGAATTGTTAAACTGGTGGTGCTCTAACAGCACATACTTTCCCGTTATTGAAAACAGCTACGTAATATTGAAATACTGCATTTTCTGCGCTACTAACACCTCGCCGATTATTATAAAAAAAGTGCAATTCAACCAACCGAGAAGCGCAATGTTGCCAGCGCAGCGTTGTCTAACCTATGTGCATTTGTTTGGCTAATAATATCAATATAGTAATTAGAACGTATGCAATTGACATCAAAATAATTTTGAAAATTCTGGTAGCTCACTCCCGAGTTGCCTTTCGACTTAAGATAACAGTTCCGATAGCGTTTTTTGTTGTTTTTTTTTTAATTCAATGTGCAGTAATTTTTTAGGGATCAGATGAAATTAAATAATAAACATCATATCACACCTCGCATTCTGATGAATAATTTATAAAAAAACCGCTGCGAAATTCATTGCGAACTGAAGTACTGGCTCTCGGTCTAGGAGTTACACCACCACCACCGGCTGGAGTTAATTAAACAGCTGCATCTTATCAAAGCCAACATCTCGACGTTCAAGAACTTCTTAAATATTAATGTCGTATTGTTGCGATATTTCTATTAAGCTTTGCAGATTGCTTAAAAAGAAATACAGCAATACATTGTGAATACAAATTGAGTAAAATGTAAAAAAGCGGGAGTGTAAAAATAGAATTAATAATGGCATTTTCAATAGTAAATTATGATTAATAAATCAATTACTTTTCATATTATTCATTTAATATTTCTCGTGGCCTCCAGTTGGTGTGAAACCTGTGTACATATATTTCATTAATTTCAAGCAGGATTTGATCAAAAACTACTATTCTTTTATTTTCAAAAATTTGTACTTGGCCTTTTTTAAAGAGCTTAGTACAACAGACTTTGTCGGAGGCACAAATCTCTACCTTCAATTTTGTAGTTTTGATATCATTGTTGCAATTTTCGAAAAAACACGAACAATACCAGAAAATGATACTGATGTCATATTTCTTATCGTTCCTTATTACAAATTTAAAGAAAAAAATTGGAGCAGTTTTTGAGATTTTTTTTTTGTAAATTTCATGCGCAAAATTCGCAAAACCACTATTTTTTCAGAAACTTGCACATTACGTTTTTTGAAGAGCTAATTTTGTACAACGTATTTGTCAGAGACAAAAACCTCTACTCGTTACGGAAGTTTTAAACTTTTTTCCAATTTTCGAAAAATCGAGAATGTTAATGAAAATGAGACCGGCGCCATTTTCTTAAACGTACTTTGCACTATTTAATAACAAAATTTAATCAAACAATTCTGAGTGTTTTATTGAAAATTTTGATAATGTCCCTGTGGCGTCATGTCAGGTAGCCCCCAATATTAAAATATTGATTTCAAATTCCAGGGTCCTCGACATTAACGAGAACGATTGGGGAATATCAATTTTGGAGAAAATCGGCTGAACGGTTTATGCGCTAACGTTGTGCACAAATGGATAGACAGGCTGACGGATGGACAGTCAAGCAGACAGGCTGACGGATGGACAGATAGACACAGGCAGACAGTCACAGACATTTTGCCGGTATGAAGGGCGGTATGCGGATTTTTTGGTATGAAGGGCGCACAAAACGTGAATTCTGTCTACTCCGTGTGTTATAGGATTTTTAAAATTATATTCAGCTACTTAATTTATCCATTTTTTCCTTACTAGGGGCCGGCAATAAACTCTTTTGTGTCGAAAATTCTTGTTTTCCGCGCAGAATTTCAATGCTTTCTCTTCTTATGTTAGTAAGTGCAAGAAAGTAAAATGAGTTGTTGCATTTAGAATCTTTTTTAATTAATTGTTTTTTGTTGCAAAATGTCCCTGCTTATTAAGTAAATTGATTAGGAATTAAATTTAATTCATTTAATTTCTTTGGAAAATATTTACGGCGAAATTACAATTTCCATTTTGTATTGTTTCCTGAATTGAAACAAATTTATGATTAATAAGAGTGACAGAGCAACATTATTAACTTTTTGAGGAATCAGACAAGAAAAATTTGAATTCCATCATGTGGAAAACTCAGCATATGCACTTGAATGGTGTGTTGTTTTGTTCCTCTCACGCACAGCATTATTGCTCTGTGTCATGAAAAAGATCGACTCAACCAGTGAAGTATTTACACACCATGTCTTCTTTTCAGATCAGTCAACAGAAGACCTGGGTATGACCAGTATGACCTCCAAGTAATGATTGAGGAAGAAAGAAAACTACTTACAACTTGTGAATTCTGTGGGAAAAGATTTTCTATTCCTTCACTTGCTGAAGATCATCGAAGAATTCATACAGGAGAAAAACCTATTTTATGCCATGTTTGTGGAAAACAATTAAGGTCACTTCGACAACTGAGGGCCCATGCATTTCAGCATAGTTCCAATAAGCCTTACAAATGTGATATGTGCGAGTCAAGTTTTAAACGCAAATTTGAACTTACTGTACATCAAAAACGGCATACTGAGAAAGGACAATTTGAATGCGATGTTTGTAGTCGGACTTTTCAGTATAAATCAAATTTACGAGTACATAGTCTGAGACATTTCAAGATGTATAGAGTCCATTGCAAGAAATGTAATAAGGGATTCTATAGTGAAACTGAGCTTAGATATCATATGTTGCGCCACAATATTGGTATGAAACCATTTAAATGTGAATTGTGTGAAATGTCATATGCTGCTAAGAGTTATTTAATGCGTCATGTTCGTGAGCACCATAAAGGCCTTGTACAGAAAGCAGAGTGTGGTATATGCCATAAGGTTTATGCAAACAGAAGAGTTCTAAATAAACACATGCGTTTCCACACAGGTGACAATAAACATGTTTGTGATGTTTGTGGAAAAGTTTTAACGTCTTCTTCTAGTTTGTTAGTTCATAAGAGGATTCACACTGGTGAAAAACCTGAAATATGTAAAGTATGTGGAAAGGCATTTGGCTCTACTAACTATTTACGTACACACATGCGCACTCACACAGGAGAGAAGCCCTATTCTTGTAAAGAATGTGGGAAATCGTTTACCCAAAGGTCAACACTTACAATCCATATTAGATCACATACAGGTGAGAAACCCTACCAGTGCCCTTTGTGCAGTAGGCAGTTTGTCACCAAGACAATTATGAAATTGCACCAAAAATCTCACTCTTAAGAAATCGGTTGATGATGAATGAAACCAAGGAATGAAAACCATCTAGAAATTTGTTTGAATGTATTAAATCTTTGTTTACTGTTTTTATATAACCTTATTATGATTATTGCCAACAATGACTCTTGGATTGTGAAGTGCATTGCAGTGGAATTCATTACAATGTATTTTCCTAAAATAAGTGTTTATTTCTAGCCATTCTTCACTGTTTCACAGTGTATGTGGTGCAATGTGATGCTGCAATATGTTAGTAAACTTCTCCATGCTGCAAAGATAGAGATTGTTCTTTTAACAGCAAATAATTGCAGTAGCTTTACCCTTCAATTTTGGATATTACCACAGAATATTGTTGGTTGATGCAAGAATGTTACAAAGTTGCCGAAGAAATCTTCCATTTAATATGTAAGGAAGTAATGACACTATTGTGGAAAAATAAATTTCTTTGTAATTTTAATTGGTACATTATTCAATCTTCCTTTATACATTATGGAGAATCATATTTTAATTATATATTTGACAGGGTTAAACAACTGTTACTTCAATTATTATATTTTTGAAACCTTTTGTTTCAGTCTTCAGGTAAAAACTATAAAGTACAGATTTGCACTTAATACTTTTTCAATAATACGATTCTACTCCTTTTACACAATTTACATTCCAATATCAACCACCACAGTGCGAGATAGGAAAAAATTAAATGATAAAAGAAATAAAGTAAATCTTTTCTTGTTTTTGAATTAGTAACCCCTACCGTCTTCACTTTTCCCTTGTGCATCCTTTCTTTGTTAACTGGTTGTACTTTGGTATATCATTTTCCTCAATTACTCCTCACTTGAATTTAATATAATTTACAAAGTCTTGGCCTAAGTGCCTTTCATACGAGTAGAATGATCTTGTTATTGTAAAAAATGTGTAGTGGAAATGTGTATTTTACAGTTTTTACTTTTCAGATGGAAACGAAAGTTTTCCAAAACATTGTAATTGATGTAACAGGTGTTTAACCATGTGAAATAAATAATTAAAATATGAATGTATATAATTTATTATAGAAGATTGAATAATGTAGCAATTAAAATTGATATAAGACAATCAGTTAAATTCTTTCTTCCAAAATAAAATTATTTTTTTCCTAAATTTCCTTGTGATTTAGTATTGATAATATCAGAAGTTATGACATTCTACTTAAATTAGTTTTAGTTTACTGTGTTTTAGATGCTCTTATTTTACATGCATCTGTGTAAAAAAGGGTTTATTCTTAACGAATCACCTGTAATGCTTCCTTAAACAGAGTGTATTGCTCGTACATGGCTCATTGTTGTATCCTTTATAATAAAGCATCCTGTAGTGGATGAAATGGTTCATGATTATATCCTATGTAATAAAAGTCAATATAATACTATTGATCATGTAGATTTACACTTTCAAAATATGTCAAAATGTTAAAAAAGAGTCTGGATAAAACAAAACTAATGATTGAAAACGTTTATTTGCTCTTTGGTGAATCAGAATCGTAATCTTGGTGCCTCAGAATACACAAATTATTGTTCAACAAAATCTGTTGTTGTGTGCCTTTCAATCAAATGAAGAAAATTAAATGTTTTGACACCTGATGTGGATGCACTCTGGTTGAAACTCGAATATGGGAACATACTATATGCCGTAGGAGGAATATATAGACCACCTTTTCTCCCCGCTTACACATGAGGGAATTAGCTGGGCTGGTAGCTGAGGGAGACTGCTAGTGGATACTGGCAGTCACGCATGCAGCTACTCTGTCACACATGCGCACAATAAGCGCATGCTTGAGGTGCGTTATCTCCTCTTCCCACTCATTGGACCGGGAGCCTAGGCTCTGACCTGGCTCCCAGCATGGGCAAACTAGTAACGTGATGCTTGTCCATTTCCCGGTCAGATCAATTCACCTCATCACCTAATGTTGTAGGAGAGTTAGTTGTCTGTGTAATTTTTGTTTGTGTTTTCTTTATGTCATGATTAATGGAGCTAAAGATTTAGTGTTATAGAGAATGCCCCACTGACTTCAGGCGACTCCCATAACTTCTAAATGATTCACGATATTGCTATACAGTTTTTGCTCAATAATGCAGAAACATGAGGCAAGTGAAATGCCATACAGACAGAAATAGTAGAGATAGCAATATGCCATTTTAGATGTGAAGAGAGTGTTGAAATCTGTGTAAAATCAGTCATGACCATGAATGAACGTTCAGGATTGGAATTATTTCAAAGACACATAATTGATTCTTTTAAAATTTTAGATACAGGAGTAATTCAGATGGAATATAGATTTCAACATTTTGAAAACTTTCATTTCATTGAATTTGTTGATGAAAAGTAGTTTTCCACCTACATAGCGTCCTTTCCTTCAGACAAATTTTCTTTCATTATAACATAATAACCATTCTTGGACAGTGAGCAGTTTCAAAATGAACTGACTAATGTAATAGGTTGATAATGCAAAATTCATGCCTGCAGATTTGTTGCTGAAATATTTCTTGGATAACTTGGCTGAGAAAAAAAAAAAATGAAGTGACTATGTCGAGATTATTAAATTATCAAGAAACGAATTATCAAAGACATTGATACAACTGTCTAACTTTATACAGCATTATGTGAAAGGAATATGAGTACTCAAAAGAGAGTGAAGGCATTTCTGAGAAATTACATGGGAAATATCAGGATCAGTAACTTCAGTAACTTGCATATTGAGAAGTATCTGCTTAATGAACTTCGCAGAAACAATAGCTTGAAGGACAAATTATCAATGTTTTTGCTGGATGGAAAAAACAACGAATGGAGCTAATTTACGAAACAAAAATGAGGAAGATAAAACTTTCAGAATACCAATCTTCATGACTAGCTTTTCCACTGAATGTGCTCTCACTCAAACAGGCAACTCTAGCAATTAAACTCTCACTCAAACAGGCTCATAAATAACTCTGGTTTACAACAACAACAACAACAACAAAAACAAACAAACAAACAAACAAACATTTTTTTCTGTAAGAAGAATAAAGCTTACTGTTTCTGGAAGTTAATTTGCTTGTCAACCCATATCTAATTTCAGAATTTCTGTATTGGCCTCAGTATTCATGTGATGATTTTTGTAATTGCGTATGTTTCCCTAAGTATAATATGTATCGGGCCAAAAGACATGCTCTAATAACAACAGATTCATATGTATAGTAAGAAATACATATAAATATGTGTAAATAAAAGTGAAGAAGACGCTTGAAATGTTGGGTCGATATGGTTATTCCTGCTTTGTCTTCTGATTGTTCGCCACTGTAGCATTCATCTTCATTCACTGCCACATTCTTAGGAGTTAGGGGTAATTCATCACTGTGACATACAGGCATTATAGCAGATGGTAAGTTAGAATATTGCGTGTTTTCTTCATTCTTGAGGTGATTCCAGATATTTGTGTCAGACAGAAATAAGTCTGTTATGTGATCCGTTGGATCCCTCCAAAACATGGTAACAGCAATGTGCACGTGGCGTGAACCTTTCACCCAGCATGTGAGGAGTAAAATGGGAGCTCTATTTCTTGCTCTGGTCACCTACCTTACAGCTGAAATAAAGTTCATAATACTTTCTTCTCAGAGGATTAAGGCTTGGTTTTTGCAATTTCAGAGTTAATTCTCCACAGATAACTTAATGTTTTTGGGCTATTTACACAGTTACAAGGCATTTCTTTTTCTGTGTTAATAAAAAGCACAAATATTCTAAAACCAAGAACAGCAAGCAGTCACATCCAAGTCGCTTTCTAAGCTGTCGGATCTCTCAATGATGGGACGCAACTGGCAAGAAATACAATCCGATTCTATCTGTTTGGGCATGACTTCAGCAATGTTTCCAAACCTTTTTCATTTCCTAATTGTAAATTTTCTGGATTCAGTGTCGTGTAAAGGAATTCCTTGTACACATTTCCATTGTTTCTGAACAATTACATACGTAGAATTGCTAAATGAAGCTACAACAAAATATCCAATGTGCAGAATTTCCAAGCATTTCCATAAATATGGAGTAGTGTGTAACAAGAAAACTGAGCCCAATAGGCAAAAACTGATTTCATATTCGAATTCAGTGCTCAAGTCTTAATTAACCCCCTGCGTTAGTGCCCCTTGTTACTTATATGTAACATTTCAGGTCAACTCGTATTTGCAGCTTTTTGCACTAATTTGCAAATTTAATTTCTTCAATAGACAGAGACATTGTAGATGAAACACAAGCAAATTGTTTTCATTCTTGAATGCTAGAAGTTGATTTAGCCGAGATCGCTAAGGCATTGAACATTCCTGGTCAGGGTGTTCACACAACTTAAGTTGCTTTGAATCTTCATTTAAAACCGTGCTTAGCAGCAATATGACTGTGGTTAAGTCGTAGGGAGAGGCTGGACTAAAAAGCAAACATGCTGCCAGAACAATTGGTTAGCACCAAATGTTGGAAAAACCTGCTGCCAGAGGGCTCTAATGGCTCCCGTGCATGCACAAACACGACAATGGACAAGTGCTATGCGAACAAAATTTCCTTGGGTATTAGAGGGTTAAAAGCTCCATTCAGTTCCTTTGTTACAGACATTTTGACCAGTGTATTCAACTAATTTGCATATTTGGTCTCTTTAAAACACTTTTAAGAATAAATAATATTATTTGAATATCTGCATATGTAATTCTCTTAATAATTGTTCTAAAGTTCTAATGATTTAAATCGGGATAGCATGAATTTCTACTTTATATTTTAATTTTGATACAACTACATTCCAATAATTCTGCAATGATTCATTGCTATAAAAATTCTAATCAATTGTTTTTTCTTTTCCTAGTTTTTATCCTTCATGCGACATGCTATTCAAAAATTGCAATTTCAGTATCATAAACTAAAAGTATTCATGCCCTTCTTTTTAACCTTATTTTGAAACATGGAAAGTTTTCATATATTTGGGTATTTATTGATATAGCCTGCTCCATGTTGGGCCAGCCATTTTGAAATATTCTTATATGCACCCTAATTAATATTGGCATTTAATATACACTGAGCAAGTCTATAAGTAAGCCCAAACAAGTACAAAGAAACTTAGTGTTGAAAGAGGAAAGGTCTGGAACATCAATTTGAAAGTTTAAGGACTTATGAATCCTTCTTTTCAAGTGCAAACTGTGTTGCTACTTTTTTCCTTTTCTCCTCCCCCACCTTTTTTTTCTTTGTGTTAGATTCTTTCTTCTTTTTTCTCATTAAAATTATCCTTAAAATGTGTTACTTTAAACATAAGATAGCAGTATGCCAAAATTGAAGTTAGGATTTTAGTGGTACAAGAGGCATAATTTATTTCAAGCAAAATCTAAATATTTCATTTTAAAATTTTGGCAATGCATTCTGAAAGGAATGTTAAAGTCATCTAGTGAAGTATTTACACTTGTCTCCTTTTCAGATATTTAAACCGAAGATGTGAGTATGACCCATGCATATCTGGGGAAAAGAGAAAACTACTCACACCTTGTGGAAAATATTTTTCCATTCCTTCTCTTGCTGAAGAACATAGAAGAATCCGCACAGAAGAGAAGCTTGCCTTGTGCGATGTATGTGGGAAACTGTTGAAATCTTTTTGGCGGCTGAAGGTTCACGCCCTTCAACATACTACTGATAAACCATTTAAGTGTGACATATGCAATTTAAGTTTCAAGTGCAAGTATCGACTTACAGAACATCGAAAACGTCATACAGAAACAAGACAATTTGAATGTGATGTGTGTGGTAATAAATACCATTGTAAAGCAGAATTAAAGCAACACAGCCAAAGGCATTTCAAGATGTATAGTGTATATTGTAAAGAATGTAATAAGGGGTTTTACACTGGAACTGCTCTTCGGGATCATATGTTGCGACACAGTGTTGGAAATAAACCTTTTAAATGTGAAATGTGTGATAAGTCATTTGGTTATAAAACGTACTTAAAACTTCATATTCGTGAACACCATAAGGGTGTTGTGCCAAAGGCAGAATGTGGTGTGTGTCACAAGGTGTATGCAAACAAGAGGGTTTTGGCACAACATATGCAGCAGCATACAGATAATGATAAACGTATATGCGATGTTTGTGGCAAAGTGTTATCATCTCTGAGAAGTTTGATTGTTCATAAACGTATTCACACTGGGGAAAAGCCAGTGATATGCAAGATATGCAGTAAGGGATTTGCTTCACCCAACTACTTGCGTGCTCATCTTCGTGTACATACTGGAGAAAAACCTTATTCTTGCTCAGAATGTAGGAAGTCATTCACACAGCGATCATCTCTAACTACTCACAGAAGATCACACACAGGAGAGAAACTATACTAATGTTTGTGTGCCAAACAGGTTGTTCAAAAACAGATAGAGTCCCATTCTTAAAAAGTGAGTTTAAAAAATTGTTGCGAAATGGAGGGAGATAAAAATAAATTTTTACTATTTGTGTATCTCTAGGAAATTAGTACCTCAATGAATGAGAGATAGCTTTCAAATTTTTAAATGATATTTTTCTTTTTTAATTAATTAGTTTTATCCAAGGCCTGTTATTTTATTATGTAAAAGTGATGGAATGTTCGTGTGTGGGGGGAACAGGTTAGGGGGAGTCTAAGCATATGTGCAAATGTGTATGAGTTGCAATTCAAAATATTAAACTCCACACTTTTCCCCTAAAACATAGGTGGGGGAAAAAGGTGAAAAAACCCGCACTCCATTTACACCACTTTAAGGAGTAGCATTGCATGTGTGAGGGCAAGGGGTTTCATTTTTAATATTGTTCGTCATTTGATATGCTTTGGTTTCAATTATATGAAAAAGTCCTAACTCACCTTGTATGAATCTAATAAGTGAATCTTTTGTTTTAGGGACAATTGATAATCAGGATATCGTGTTAACGTAATATTACAATTTGTTTGGAAATTTGCCTCTTATCTACAAGAAATAAATGTTTACCAAAAAGAAAAGAGTACACTTGTTTATTTTTTAATATTGGTTAATGCAATAAAATCTTTCTAAGTGGGAATCGACTAAAAAAGAAAAAAAATTCTCGTTTATGGAGGTTTCCATTTTATGTAGGGTTGTCCATTTTATGATATATATGATATTGATTTATGATATATGTGATATTTTATGATATATGTGATGAGATTGATTTTCTTCCAGATGTTGTTAAACTGGTTGTAAAACAAAAGTACACACCACTTCACTGCCTAGTTGCTGCAGTTGGACTGGTTGAACACTTTCAAAGCACAATGAGACAGGCCAGAGTACTATGACTTTCTGATATCCGCATATGGCCTCCATCGCCATAGGGCATGAAAAAAAGTTCTATTACCGAATTGGGCAGATTGTGTTTATGCTGTGTAAAATGCCTTATAACTTCCTGGATTGGAGAAATTTTCTTGTTAAGGCAGGTTTCCAGATTGTACAGGTTCTGGTTGAGACAGATTTTATTGTATTAGAAAACTTGGACTTTTTCTCTTATTACAAATTTTGTAGTCACAATTGACTCTTCATTGCTAATTTCTTTCTGTTCTTCTATATGGCTAGTTCTTCAAGTGATCTGCAACCAACACTTGTACTTTTCATGTTTTTGAAGTCCTTACATTTTCTCTTTTAATGATGTGGTACTAAGGACAAGAATTAATTTTTTCCTACTTATTTTCCGATCTCCGACGTTCTTTCGATCTTAAAACAATTAACTCCAAAATATTGATTCGCGAGTTTTGTTTCATCATGAAAATTACTTTGTATCTACATCTACTCTAAGTAGAAGTTAGCGTACATGTATATAATTTTGGTACTATATGATACATACACCAAATGTAAAATACACGTGCTCTTCTGTGTTACATTAGCAAATCTGGTATAATAATCTTTGGTAGTGGGATAATGTAGTGAACATTTATGTATATTAATGCAGTATTTTTGGAAGTAACAAATTTGACAAATATTAAAACCCTATTGAAATGAGACCAAACAATTCGTTGAGCTTACTTGCAGAGATTTGATGAGGTACAGGAATTTTGAAAGCTCGCTTTGCACTCTGTTGCATCTGATAATGCCAGTCATGTTTTACTATCATTAATTTGATGAAACAAGTGAGAGTATTCACCTTACATTCTTGCTTTGCATCATCAAAAGAACATGGAATCAACCACTGCAGTATTTACACACCATATCTCCTTTTCAGATCGGTCAGCAGAAGACCAGAATTTGAGGAGTATACCTTTCAACTCATGAGCAAGGGAGACAGAAAAATGCTCACATGTGAATTTTGTGGAAAATGTTTTCCCATTCCCTCACTTGCTGAAGAACACAGAAGGATCCATACTGGAGAAAAACCTATATTGTGTCATGTGTGTGGGAAACAGTTGAGATCAAATCGCCAACTGAAAGTTCATGTTCTTCAACACTCTTCTGATAAGCCATTTAAGTGTGATTTGTGTGATTGGAGTTTTAAACGCCGGTTTCAACTTACAGAACATAGGAAACGCCACACAGAAAAAGGACAGTTTGAATGTGATGTTTGTAATCGTTATTTCCATTGTAAATCACAATTAAGAGCTCATAGTGCAAGACATTTCAAGATATATAATGTGTATTGCAAAGAATGTAATAAGGGTTTTTATAGCCAACCAGAACTTAGAGACCATATGTTAATTCATACTATTGGAGACAAACCTTTCAAATGTGAATTGTGTGACGTGTCATTTGCAGTGAGGACTTATTTAACACGTCATGTTCGTGAACATCATAAAGGCACTTCTCAGAAAGTTGAGTGTAGTATCTGCCAAAAGGTCTATGCAAACAAAAGAAGCTTAACAAAACACTTGCAGCGGCACAGTGGTGAAAATAAACATATATGTGATATATGTGGTAAAGTTTTGACATGTTTGGCAAGTTTACAAATCCATAAAAGAATTCACACTGGAGAAAAACCAATGGTTTGCAAAGTTTGTGATAAGGCATTTGGCTCACCCAATTATCTGCGAACACATTTACGCACTCACACAGGAGAAAAACCTTACGTGTGCTCAGTGTGTGGCAAATCTTTCACTCAGCGAACATCATTGACAATACATACGAGGTTGCATACTGGAGAAAAGCCATACCAATGCCCATTGTGTGACAGATGTTTTGTAACAAAGACAATTATGAAGATTCATCTGAAGTCTCACCCATAATTTATAGTTATCAAATGAAACTTGATTGAGAAATTGATTTGTTTTATGTAATATCAATTAACTTGGAATGTTTTGTTGCAAATTTGTTAACATTTTATGTAAATCTGATGCAGTTTCTTTTGTGCGGTAGCATGCCTAACATTTTATGTGTGGTTTCTTAATGTCATTTTTATGTATTTTATTTTTGTAATGTGTGATGCTAGTCTAATGTTGTTTGCTTTACTACTTAAGAAACCATCATGTAAGATTTCTAGACAATAAAGCAACTAAACACTTGTATAATCTCAACATATTCACAATACTATGTCCCAGTGGAGGCGGGATACATTATTTACAGTGATTTTTTTTTTTTCTTTTCAGTAAAACTGAAATTTGAATAAATATTAATTAATCTTTGACATTGCTAGTGCTAGTTTGCTACCACCACTATTTAATCAGTGATTGTTACCACACAATTGTAATGAGAGGCAACTGCATTTAACATTTGATTTGAACAATACAGTTATTTTTGATTTTATATTGATTTCAAAGTCATTGGTAATGAATTCCAGTTGTTTCGAAAGTGTACCACTCTACCAGCCTTGCAAGAAAATATATTTGTTTTTATATATATTTAGTTATTTAATTTTGTTTTTAATATATTTATTTGTTTAATTGTGTGAATTAACTTAATTTAAAACTACTTATTATTGCAACAAAATTAAATTTTATTGAATTAAGCCAGCAAGAGGAATTCTTTTTGAGTTATCCTGAATAATTAAAAATACTAAATGGAAATTACATATGATATTAATTTTTACAATTGATATCATATCAGGTCAAGTGGAAGTGTTTGAAAAATAATAACTCGAGAATAAAAAAAAAGATGTTCTATTTGTGAAAGATCTTAGAGCAACTTTACGTCATTTATGAGTAGCCTTTATTTTATTTATTTATGTCAAAAACAGTTAAAAACTGTGTGTGCCATGCTATGGGGAGAAGTTAATTTGAAGTAACATTTTATGTCCAAAAGCAAAACAAGGGGCCATCTCATTATTTGCTCAAGGATCAGGGAAACTGGACGAAAATCTGATCAAAATGGGGGTCATTGACCTAGAAGTTGAAGTACAATACTTGTTACAGGTTCTTTACAATTATACAATCCAAATGGTATATAATAAATTAAATGTCATTGTTAAAATTAATATTACTTTCCTTTTGGATGCTTGGTATAGTGTCAAATTGTAGAGAACCAGTTGTGCAGTAGAAAAGAGTTTACTTGCGACTTAAACTTGTGGTTTGCCTTTATGGTTTAGTGTACATGAATCATTCACACATAATACATTTATGTAATATTTCGTCATTATCATCATCAACATTAAGCTGAATGATGATGATGATGATGGTGTATTTCAGTTAGAGAACATCTCGTGCCCACTGCATCCTCACTGCCCTTAGGCACCACGCACATACGTCAACCTCCTACTCGACGCCGCTGAGGTCCTCTGACCTATAGTGATTTCTGGGAAAGTTTATCCTAGATTCATTTGACGCATAAGCTTGACAATAATTGTTTCTCATATTGGTGCCCTATTTTACTCGCCTGTTAATTTAGTCTATTGTTATGTATGTTAGGCAGTATTTAGTATGATAATATAACAAGTTTGTAATAGATATGTACAAACTGCTCTAGAGTAACATCAGAACTACGTGATACAAGAGTTCATCAGAACTATGCCAGTTGTAAGATACTTGTGAACCAGTGAAGAATGGCCTAA